CCCCCTTCTAACTTAGTGACGACTGAACGAACCGGAACCAAACAGTGACAGTGAAAGCCTTACCGTGGGGTTGAACAACGCTGTACGGATTGCCTCCCTTTGCCTGCATGGCCCTCATAATCTCATACTGCAGACGCTCCCGCTCTAGAGGAAGATTAGCAAAACCCTTGGTAAGTTCACATCAAAAAAGAGAAAGTCGAGGAGTATGTGCCTTCTTGTGGTCTCTTCTGTCAGATATAATACTAAGAACAAAGCAGCCCGTCCAACTCTATACAGCTGTATAAGGCTTGCATGAAGAGTGAACCTGACCAACTGTTAAGCCCTGGCACGTTTCCTCACTGCAAAAAAACACCGCCCAATGTTTGTTCTTTATTGGTCTTTCTGGAAAACAAGATAAATAATCACTGCAAAATATGTTTTCTGCTGTTTCAGTTTCATATCGTATGCGCCACATGTATTACTTTGACTCATCGGAGTCTGTGGTTTAGTCTCTTCGCTGTTTCATGGGGAAGTTTTGAGTTTGTATTTCTAGTGGAAAAGTTGATTCCATGAGATTCATGACGCATTTCTTTCCGAGTAAGGTTTTGCAGGTACAAACGGAGTACTTCTTATTATAACATATTGTGGGGCATCGTTGTGAAACCAGGCACTTGTCAAAATAGTTATTTTGAAGCAACCGGCATTATTGTTTTCGCCGGTCGGGCATTTTTTTTTCTTTCGAAATTTGCTTTTTATTGACTCGACACATTTTTTGACCATTTAAAAACACATTTCGCGTAGGTGTTTACAGAAATATGTTGATTGAAGGCATACAAATGTAAATGTCCAGTTTCCAAAGACTCTGAATCTGTAGGAGTCACCAAACATTGGCAGCCATTTTCTCGCAACTTTTACCTCTGACACCGAACGACCCCGCCTCCTTTAATTACAGTTATTATCTCAACTTCTGTTCCAGACAGATAGGTGCTGTTTTCATTGAAAGCAGGACTAACAAACATGTTTTAAATACCAATAGTTCCACATGACTAAAAATTGACGAGCACCGTATTCCACCGTGATGGACATATTATGCTCTCAATTGTGACGACACATCGGTGGTCAAGTGGTTAGGCTCTAGGGTTCACTACCGAAAAGTCCTTGGTTTCGAACCCGGCAGGGAAACGACATTGTGTCTTTGGGAAATCACTTTACACGATTTTTTCCTCTTTACGCAGGTGGGATTTGGAGCTCGGCTAAACAGCGAAAGAGTGTTACTGTCTGAGCTCTTAATCAGCTGCTTGAACCGTAGTATGCTTTTTGGGAGCCCAGAATGTTTCTCAATGTTTTACAGTGTAGGGTCTGCGGGGGGATAATAATAGTTGTAAAGCAAATTAATGGAGTATGTCGTAGAGAATGAGTATGTGCTATCTAAACACAATTATTATTATTA